GCTCGATCCCCATAAACAGGGGAAGCGCTGACCGGAGCGGCGTGGAAAGGGACCAGTGCAGCCTGTGCCCAATAAATATCAGGCCCAAAGCTGAGGTGAGGGGGGAGTATTTCAGCAGCGATATTCTGTAACCAAATGAGAGGAAGGCTTTTTTTCACACGCCATAACTGTTCACTAATGCATGCATGAACTAGCTGTCCTTTCTGTCAAACAGCTTCATTAGTATTCTTTTTCATTCTGTACTGGAGTTAGACTGAAAGAGAGATTATATTAAAAGTTGGCTGGCTTTCAGTTGGTCCAATTTTATGTGTTTTTAAATGTGTGCTTTTTATAGGACTAAAAATTGGTCCGTAGCCTCTGTGAAAGTAGCAGCTTCTAGGGATGGTTGCTGCTCGCTCTGCAAATGCGTTACCAGTTGGTTCTGGTGTATTCATCCCAAATGGGTGCTGGTCCTCTTGGGGCTGCCGAGCTGCCCTGCAGGAGCCAGAGCGGGTGGCTGGGACATGGGGACCAGCACAAGGCCCACCAGCAACTGCTCGGCCACAACTTGAAACAATATTAATTCACTGAGACGTGTATCCAAAAAAAAAAAGCAAGATATATGGTAGCAATTCTAGAAGGTGCTCCAGCTGCTCTGGTTTAAATGGTCATAGGTTGGAAACGAAGCAGGTTTTTATTATGCTGAGCTGTGTCCAAACCCCTCCTTCTCCTCTGTGCTCAAAGGATAATATCAAGTGCTCACGTTSTTCCTGGGGTGCTTGCAGCCCTTGTGTCCTCTATATGTTTCAAGTGATCCCTTCTAGAGGTGTTTTCAAGAGGTTTCCAATATTTTCCAACTTGCCACGTAATTTTTCTATTCTTGCAGTAGCTGGCAAAGAGAAAAGTGTCGGTAAAAGCACCTTGCTAAGGGCTGTTGCACCGTTCCCTTTTCTTCCTGCCATTTTATCTAAGAAAAACCCTGARGAACGTCAGGATTTGCCCTGGGCTGCTGCAGAGCGGCGAGGTGTGCCCTTCTTGTGGCCACTGGTGCGAGCCAAGCGCGTGCACGAGCAGCACCTCTGCTAATGTCAGCGTGGGCTGCCAGGCGCCGCGGGTCCTGTGCAGCCCCGGGGTRTGCGCGGCGCGGGGCCGTGTAGCACAGGCACAGCAGAGCCCGTGCTTTGTGCCGCGAGCCCGGGCGCTCGCCGCGCGCGCCGCGGSTTTGGCACGTGGCGGGAGCGTCGCAGCCCGCTCCGTACGTGCCGCGCCGAGCGCGCTCCGACATCTGGGAAGTCCCAGGGAGACAGATGGCAGCAGGGCTCCCTGCACCTGAATCCTTAAAAGCGTTGGCTCCCCGAGTCGAGTGCGGGCTGGTTTTGCTCCGCTTTGTGCGCGCAGGGCGCAGCGAGGCGGCTCCCGCCCCGCGCACAGCCCGGCCCTCAAATTGCTCTGCGTCCCCTGCCTGTCCACTACAAATGTTCCCGAGTCACCCGGTGTGCGAGGCGGCTGCTGGTGATGTCTAGACTTGTGATTACTGAAAATTAATTAAACCGGAGGAAATTAGGCTGGAAGGGGAGTAGGCTCCTGGGAGGGGAAAATGGAAGAGAGAAAGGCGACTGCTGTTAACCCTTTCCAGCTACCGATGGGGAAGAGCTTTTCCATGCCAGGGCATCTGGGAGAGTATTTAGGGAAAAAGTCACGGCTAATGCATGCACCCGGGAGCTGCTGTGAGTGATGCCTGCAAATGGGAGCCGCTGGGATTTCGGGAGCGCTGCTGGCTGTTTGCACACGCGGGCCGGGCTGCCGGGCACACCCCGAACTGGCACTCGCTCTCTGCCTGGGCCTTTTAAATAAGTTGCTTCATTGCTAGCCAGACCTGAAATAACTTGCGGAGCAGCAGGTTTGCAGCGAGCCAGCGTGACTGTGGASGAGGGCAGAGGATCAGAGATTCTCCTGTGAAATCCAGTAACAAATCAGTTCTAGGGGCATGGGAGGGCATGTGGCTGGGAGAACGAAGGAGGTGGTTGCTGGTGGAATAGTCTTCTTTTGCTTCTGGTTTGCCTCTTACCTGCTCTTCCGTTTCTTAGTAGTTTCTCTTATATAGCTTTTCAGCATGGTGTCTAAGTGCTTTGTGCCTTCCCCTTGGCATGAAGCCACCGTCTGGCTAGCAAGCAAGTACAAACTGTAACACCTGGGTGTCAGCTATGAACATTAGGGTGTGCTACAATGGACCCATCTGTAGTACTTGGCACATGCTGGAGATTTTTATATGTGGTTGGCTGAAAAGCAGGATCAGAGAGAGAGAGAGAGGAGGGAGATGAGGGGAAGAGGACTCCACTGGGCACACAGAGAACATCATTTTGGCAAAGGTGCCAGTAGGTTTCCATGGACTTGTCTGTTTTTTCACTCAGCCCTTGCTTTCAATAAAAATATCCAGGTTGATTCTAAGAAAAGCAAGAGTAGATTTCCCTAAAGAACAAGCTCAGAAGCCTCACTCTCTGTCTCTAGAGAATAAATTTAATTCTATAAGTAGATTCAATAATAATAGATTTAATAAAAATAGATTTAATCATCACCAGTTTTATTGTTCTACTGTGTGAAGCAGGTCTTGCTGACTGGCCCCCTGCAGGATTTCTGGCTGGATTTGGAGGGAGGAAGAGCCTGTGTTCAGAGCCAACTCTCCTGCACTGTTTTTCAGGCTCGCTCAGCTTTCACAGGGTTGTGTCCTGGAATAAATTCCAGTCAGGTTGATATGGACAACGACTGTCGCTGATATTTCCACACTTGAGCCCGAAGAGTCACGATAATTTCCAGTTTTACTTGATGTCCCCACTGGACAATGCCCACGTCTCTGTGAGAAACGCCAGCCAAGGTAGGGAACGAGTCTCTAGGAGCAGTAGCTTGTTGAGATGGGTTTGGCTGAGTGAAAAGCCCAGTGCATTCAAAGGAAAGGAAATGTTCCTTTTCCCTTTATGTGGCACGGATATGTTTTAAAATGCATGGGCAAAGTTTGTAGCTTATTTCCTCCAAAGGGGCCAACTCCTCCTGGCATTCTTATGAACAAGCTCATTAGAATAAAATCCATTATGCGCATAACTAATGACACAAATTTACAAATCTGTTGACAATTATGACCACATCCCTCATGCATTTGCTTGTAACTCACTGAAGTGACCAGAAGAAGGAGTTCAATCCAGAAGTTTTACAGCTCACGAGCTCCGAGTGCAGTGATGTGAGGTTATTTCCCAACTGGATTACAAAGCTGTCATTAGCCAGGGCAGCTCGGCAGGACCGGGGCACAAGACCGTAAACTGCCCTCAGGAGACCTGAAGTCACTCTGGAGGCAGGGCGAGATAGTCCTGGCTGCGGAGACCGTTATTTTTTTAGCTGGGAGGGAAAACACATGCGCGTGCACACAAGCCGCTTCTGTTCCAAGTAGCGTCTCGTGTCCTCTAGAAATGAATAGAAATCAAATTGAGACACTGGTGTCCTCAGAGTGTTAAATATTTCTAAGTTCTTGCCAGGCGGGTGTAATTTATTGAATGTAGATTTTGTGAAATAGTGCTCCTGTCAGGGAGAGATTGGCACAAGAGAAATGAAGGCGGCTAATTCTCAGGGGGTCCTCGCTGGCAAAAACCCTCTATTGAGTCCTCATGCTACTTGTGCTCATAACTGCCGAAAAACCAGGAGTGCCATCTGCAAACTGTGATTCATAAACACTCTGTCAGTCTGCCATGTACCCTGACATCATAAAATAACAAGAAGCAGCATTGTAATAAAGAGAGGAGGTTTGCAGTCGACCAATTAAATGCATCTAATTTATTTCTGTTACAGCTGAGGCTTTATTTATTAGTAAACAGCTGCATTTGTTACACTTTTTTTTTTTCCTCCCCCCCCCCCTTTTTTTTTTTTTACTAGGAGTGTGCCAACTGGCACTTTTGATAATCCATTAATCCTAAATAATCATCTGGGTACTTCATGGATGGTAGGGAAAAAAAATAGCAAAATGGGTTATTAAAAGTTAAAGTGTAACCTTGCGCGCGGGCTGCAGAGCGCCGCTCAGCGGAAGGACTGCGTGAGTCGCGGCGAGCTCGAGTCGTGCCCTCCATTTACACCCAGGAGCTCAGGCCGAGACGGACACCTGCAAGGGACCTAAATCCGGTGCCGGATCTGGCCCCGTGGATGTGGGGTTTTTTTTTGCAAGATGGCACGTTTGTGGCTCAAGAGGAGCATTTTGCATGTTTGGTTGCCTTGCCTCCTCCTTTCTCCGTGCTAACTTGATTCTCAGCAAAGCTAAAAATCTGCTAATTGGTTGTCAAAGTCTAATTAGCTGATATTACCAAAAAAAAAAAAAAAAAAAGGATAAGTTTGCCTTTTATAATTGGAGCTGAAGCCCCTCACTTCCCCTCCCCTCCAGCCCCCTGGTGTGTGTTAATTGAGCTCCAGGACTTTTCAGTGTGTTTTAATGCTCTTCTCCTTTTCAGTGCCCTGGAAAGCTTTGCAGTTAATGAGACAATAATATGTACAATCAAGTAAAATGCAGTAAAAAGTAGGCCCGGCCTTATGGAATTGGAGTGTGCGGAAGCCTGCGCGCCTGGGTGTGGAAGGAGCTGGTGCTCTCACTGAGCTGGGGACACACACTCCATGTGGCTCCATAGTTTTCTCTCCCTTCCTGGGCATTTCCTTCTCCTTTCTCTCCAAAGGAGGGATTTTTTCTTGCTTAAAGCAAATACTTTACTAGCTAAAGGGAAATGGCTGGTTTCTGCCCRTGCAACCCATCTTCCACCAACCCATCTTCCACCCATGTATATACAAATATATCCCTAAGCCCCAAAGCTCCCTTTGCAGCCAGACCCAAGTCCWTCTGCACTTCTCCATAGGTTCTTCCTCACATCCTTTCCTATTCCATTCTCCCTATAGGTCTCAAGCCCATCCATGAGCTCTRCTTACATCTACCACTTACCATTTACGCTGCCACCTTGGGGACAGCAGTTAGTGCCATCCTGGGCCTTGTTTTTGTGGTTTAATTTTAAAGTTTATCTATTGGCTTACATTGAAAGAAATCGACGTTAAAAAGAAGCGAGCACAGGTGGGTGCTTTATATATGGGTGCTCTTTTTCAATCTGTATAATAGCGTTGAGTTTACTTTTTCAGTATGTTTTCCTCTTTTCCCTCCTCCTATCTTCCTCCTCCACACCTGCTTTTAATCAGTCTCCTCTGCCCCACTTGTCATCCTATCCTCTCTGCTGCTTTTACCACAAACCCACTAATGTTATATTTCAAGGCAAACTTTCAAGCCCACGACATTTAAGCAAGTAAATCAAAAATCCAAACAAATTCTCCAGCCTCTCCCGGTAGGAACATGCGGGAGAGGCTCCTCCAAGCTGTGGAGATGAAAACAGTTGCATTGCTTTGCTTATCTGAGTCTGTTTTCCTTTAAATCTAAAATTGTCTTTTTCCCCAAATCCCCCAAAATACGCAAGCAGCAAGGCCAAATGCTGCTCTTAGATGAGCAATTTCTAGTGTTTGCGCTGTTTTGTCCCAAGTCACCTCCACTTGGCAGCRCCAACCCAACCATGATGCGCATCTGGCTCTAAGAAAGAAACTAATATGGAAGGAAATCAATTGTATATTTATTGTGGTAGGTTATTTAAAATAATATATGCTTCATGATAACCAAACCGTGCAGGCAGATGACCCAGTTTAGCAAGGCAYTGAAATCAGAGTGGCTTAAATATGGGCCTGAAAGCCATAGGTATCCGGGTTTCCCCCTCCTCGATCAGCAGCAGAGTATCTGCTGGTGCTGATGGGAATGGGCAAGCTCCTCCACTGAGGAATGGTCAGTACAGTCTCGTCTGTGTCACAGGCGTGGGGAAAATATGTCATTGCATCTGCGTGAAGCAGTTTGGATGGGCTTAGCAAGGCCAGGACCCTCTTCTTGCAAGGCTGGTTTTATCCTGAGAAGGGCACGATGGACTACTCATTCAGGATGTCATTACAGGGGCAATACTATAAGGTGGCAGACAGTAATGGAAAGTCGTGTCCCTTTTCTATAACGGACAATGTATGTGGACATTGTCATCCCATGCTGAACATTGAGCATCAAAAGATTTCCATGCTGCTGTCGGAAACCTTGCACTTTTCTCCACCTGGGAACGATAAAGTTGGGATAACTCTCTTCGTCGGTGTTGCTGTTGCTTCTTTATTTAATATTATTTGTTTGGATTTTCTGCAGAGAAAATGAGTCAACACAAGCACCGTGTTGTCTTAATCAGCTCGGGCTTCACTGTGGACTTCTGAGCACCAGGTGTTCCAAGACTGGTGAGTTTTGATGATTTCCATTGTGCTAGTGGAGGGGCTGATAATTGTCTTTTTTGATGTTCCAAATTTGCTCTCAAACATCATTAACGTTTTTGCTTTATGAAGGCAAAGTGGCTGACTGTATTTATACTGTGAATAACCACACTGTCCTTAAATTATCTCCTCAGATATCGGTCACCTCCTGAGAGCATCAAGCCTCCTTCGTGAGTGCTGCAGTGGTGTTCAAAGGGTTAACAGCAAAGGTGAGCTAGCAAGTGGGTTGGAAAGTACAGAACTTAGTGCTGAGTTTGCAGTAAAAAGAAAAAAAGAAGAAAAACACTATTCTGCGATGTTGCTGGCTGCCTGCTACGTATAATGGAAACCTGTTGTTTTTCAAAGTCAGCTGGCAACAGAATAAGAAAGCCAGAAACAGCACAAATCCTGCCGAGCGTGTTCACAAATGCCACTATTGTATATTGTCATCAGTGAGTTAATTGACAGCAACAGAAGCTGGTTGACATTACCCGCTTGCTTTTGATTGTTGTCAGATAAAAAGTTGGGCTTCGCTGCTGCCTTCGGCTACCACATTGTCATTGAAGGCCGGGTCTCTGGAGCCTGGGCACGGGCCCGTGTGACTCTCCGTGGTTTTGTTGTACCACGTTGTCAACTGTTGTGTCACCATTCCAATACGAGCACTTCTAAAACCAGGAAGAGTTATGGTAGGAAAGGATGAAAGAATGAAGAGATTGTGATTAGGCAGTCATGACTGCTTTTGAGAAGTCTGGTTGTTTGGTTTTCTAGCGATTTTAATTTACTGTGGCCACTGCTTTGAAAATAAGTAGAAATTGTGTTGGTCCTGGGGTGATAGCATGGAGCTCTTTATAAATAAATCTCGTGGAAACAGAACCTCTGTTGCTGAGGTTACGGCATCACATCACTATCGGCTTAAAACACAGTGTTTGTGCTTAATGCTTCCTGCATTAACACATTCTGGCCATTGGCTCATTTGGCTCTATTAACATAATTGTTCTTTCTAGAACACTGGGTCATTCTCTCTCCCCAATTAGAAAATCAAAGCCGGTTTCAATATTTTGGAGGAATCATGCAGCCAGGGCTCCTCTATAAACTTATCCTGGCTGTGGTTAAATACACTGCTTCTGATTCCACTTAGCCTGAGCCCTCAAGTGCAAATCAGAATGGGSCATATTTTATACAAACCTTTTCTCTCTGTGGCTTTTTCTGTTGTAAATGTCCTGTTTGCCTGTGAAACCTAAAGAAAAAAAATATTTTCTCAAGCTATTTTGATAAAATTCTTCCTTGATTTTTCCCTGCCATGTTGTTGCATCCCCAAATTCTCCTTCCCCTGAACCAAAGAGCTGGCTTCCTATTTTTCACTTCCAGTCTGGGGAATAAAAAGCAATATTCCCCCTTTTAATTCCTCTCTTTTTGGTTTTTCATTTTATTTATTTTTTTTTTTAGGTGACATTGTTCTACTCGCCAAACCTGTAACTTTAACAGAGGGTGACAGGGTGACCTTGACGACAGATGTTCTTATGGCAACAGATGGCACGAGCAAACCCGAGAAGCTGCTGTACGCTGTCTCCGTGCCACCTGTGCATGGTCAGATTGAGTACATCAATTATCCCGGCGTGCCCATTTCCAGTTAGAGCCAGTTGGATGTGGTGGCCCAGAAGGTCTGCGATGTTCATGACAATAGCCACGAGGCCAGTAAGGATTCATTCAGGTGAGAGGACTTGCTTGGGCCTTTACACGTCAGCCTACTTCAAAGGGTTAAACTTGCACCTCAGTCACTGCGCACCGAACGGTGAGCGTTCAACGACCAGTACAATTGTGCAGGAGAGACAGCTTCAAACGGTAACACAATGTAATTTTATCATTACAGTAATGACATACTTTTATTAACTGGAGTGGTTAAGTTGCATGGCCAAAGGCGATAGGAGTCTTGCAGGCTTCATACTGGGTCTGCCTGAACAGGCATTTGTGGCTGATGAGCAAGTGAAATCAAGTGATTTAAGTACATGTAAGGAGTTTACCATGTATCTCAAGGTTGCCAGTGGTTGAGAAGGAGAAGCAAAAATCCCCCATATGAAACTGTTGTTGCTTTCTGGGCCATTCTTTCTCCTGAAGGGGAAAAATAATAATCGTAACATTGTCTGAAATGATCAGGAGAACTTAATCCAGATGGCGGTGTCGTTTCTAAGAAAAAGCATATGTTGGCCATTATGATACTTAAATATAATGGTTTTACATTCCTCTGGTGGGCACAAAAGGCACACAACATTGTTGGCGGGGGTTTTTAATCTCCTGAATGGTGGCAGTGGTGGTGGTGGAGTGGTGGGAGATTTTATCTTCCAAATGGTGCGTTTCCCCAAAGATTGGGAAATACAATTGAGGAGAGCCTGCTGTAAAAGCCGTGCTCCTGCGGAATGTAAATTTGTGCATTAYCCTGTCCAGTAACAGTAGAGAGTTTTAATTTACTGCGCCCTTTGGAATATCATCATTTTATATATATTCTTCTGGAATTTTTTTTCTTTCTCTCTAGCATGTTTTTCTTTCCGATTCGCTTTAAAAGTTATTTACGCTCGCCTTGCAGCAAAGTGGGCACTATAACTAATTTTATTCTTACCATGATTAACTATGAATAATTTCCTAAGAAATGAGTCAAATTAACAAGGGGAAGAAGGAATCAATAAMTCATGAAAGCAGACTATTTCTAAGTGGGGTTAAAACCACCATTAAATAAATCACAGATTCTAAATGATGACCCGCTTGGATAGAGGGGAGGAAAAAAGCCTCTATTTAAACCTGCGGTGAAAGGAAAAATGAAAGTGTGGGCCAGCATCTGTGCTCCCTGCACACAGCTCGAGGAGGGGGGAGAGATGGAAGCAGCTTGTGGAAGGGCCCCAGGATAAGTCGCTTTGGTTACAGCTGCGSAGGGAGGAGAGGGGCTCTGCCTGCCATCGCTGCCCTGTCCAGCTGTGACGCGGCCCTCGGCCTCCCGCTGCAGCCAGGCACGGCCAGGAACGCTCTGCCTGCTGGACACGTGGTGCGGAGACATAAATGTTGTTCAAAAGCACCTTCTGCCTGCCTCGCCGTGCCAAAAGAGAGGAATGCAGGGGCTGACCCCACCTTGGTCTGAATATCGCGAATGTTTTCATTCTGCTTTAATTTTTTTCTCTTGTTTATCCTGGCAGAGTTTCGAGTGTTTTTGTATGGTCAGGCCTGATTAAAACTGCTTGGAGAGGATTTCAGGATCAGCCCCATTGCTCTTACCTTGTTTTACATTATATCCTTTTAATCTTGCATTAAGGATCATAATTTGCCCAGCAGCATCCTGAGTGTAGTAGTGTTACCCAGGGCCTGGTCATCATCTTTCTTCTTAGTGGAGAATCAGAAATCTCCATTTTGCTCCAGGTCTGCTCTCACTTTTGGGGTGTTTGCTGCCCATCCTTTTGTACAACAGCAAGTAGAAATATTTTTGAATTGTAGAAAACTGAGCAAACTTTCTCCCAAGATTTCCTTAGGAAAGAAGAGGTGCAAATGTTTACTCCTTAGTTTTAGAAAGGTAGAGATATACCTGTAACCTCCCATTTTAAATTCTTTTTATGATCTTTTCTCCTCCCTAAACACATGTACGGGATTGAAACAATTCATTGCTCGTCGGGAATGGTTACCTTTCCTTCTGCATGGCCAGCCCAAAGGTTGTCAGCTGGTTTAAATCACTCTATCCCAGTTCACTGAAATGATGCTGCAGCTGTTTAAAGTGGCTCTGTGACTTGTAAAGTTAGTTCATAAAGTTGCAGAAAGGATCTCTGTTCTAATGCATCTCTTGGCCATCGCTCCTCGTTGCTTTTCTCTGSAGTGGGGAGGTGAGTCTCTCATTGATCTTGTTGTGTTGTGGTGTTTGGGGAGCTGTTTGTCCTCCCTCTATTCTGCCTGTCTGGGTGCTTTGGCCAGAGGATTTGGTGCAGTTTTTCTGCAAAAGCAATGTGTGATATTAGAGATTACCCAAATGATCTGTTCCCCTGCTGGGGGCAATGTCTGCAAGGCCCAGCCCAGCTGCTCCCTATCCCCACAGCCCTTTGGATGCTGAGGAAGGGTGGGCACTTCAGGCCTTCCTCTGTAACCAGCATGGACCAGTAAAGCACCAGGTCTTCAGTGCTTCCTCGGAGCTACCATCAAACCAGCCAGAGCACTTTAACTTCTTCAGTCCAGCAACCTCCTCAAATGGCATCAGTAGGTGGAGGCAGTCGATCATGATCACTTCTCATGTACCTCTTCCCTGTTTTTTATATCCTGGTCTTGCTCTTTAGCAACGAATCTCCTTGAACAGAGTAGCACCTATGAACCAACCAAGAAGGAAGCCTTTTTTCCTAAGTGCTGTACACACACCAAAGAGTAAGTGCTCCTGCCTTGAGGGTCTCCAATGTAAGTAAATGGATGGACATGTGGGGTAGGACCAGAGCCTCATGTTGGCCAAGGATGTCAGCTTCGAGGTCAGCTTCCTTTGCAGCTAATTGCTGCAGCCTGGGGCAGAGACCTGTCTGTTTGGGCAGTCATTGCTATAAAACTGAATAGGAATTTGTCATTCTGCTGTAATGCAAATAAACTGTCCCCTTTCATGAAGCAGCAGCAAGACGGAGTGGTCAGAGCCCTCATTGAAGCCCATTGGTTGGATGGATGCAAAATATTTTCAGGGAAGATCTAAAACAGCAGTGATCTCCACTTAGGGATAAACTCCAGACGGGTGGGTTGGAGGGCCTTTGCTGCTGTGACATTCCCAACTGTTTGAGGCTGGATTTGGCCTCTTCTCAATATACAGGAGAGAAACACAGCAGAGGGCTGGGTGTGAGGAGCTGAAGGAGGGCGCCCGCTGCCGCCTCTGCCATCCGGGATTTAAAGCAGGTCCAGTGGGACATCCAAAGGGAAGGGCTGGCCTGGAGCAGCGAGACTTGTCCTTCAGAAAGGAAGGAGTTAAAATACAGGGATTAAAAAAAAAAAAAAAAAAAGATCTTAAAAAAATCTCACTCACTCACATACACACACACACACACTCACACAAAACCCTGCACCCTAAATTAATTTCTGCTGGTAATCTATATCGGGTTAAATAACGCCTCATTATTCTGCAACACAGCTGAGGCTTCTCAAAATGTTTATCTTGTTTTGTAACTGGTACCTTCTGGCATATTCCAGTGCCAACTCTCCTAGCTCTTGCTATATTTCATTCTCACTATTTTTGGAATGGAGCTGCTGGTTCCAGGTGATTTAATAWATTGCTTTTTTTTGTGTTCCTTTTAACTTACCCATCTGCTCAACACATGCGTAACTTGCAATCTGTCGGCAGTTTGCAGAAAGACAAACTGTCAGAGCTGCATGCATTTGACAACTTTGTTCCCAATTAGATTAGTGGTAATTTTAACAGATTTCAGGGCAATCGAAAAAAGGGATGACATGTTATTAAAGCATCAATTTTGACAGACCCAAGCACATACAATTTCAGTGTAAATTATTTTAAATGCTTTAATTAAAGCTATGAAAGATTTACCCTTTTAAGCGGTAAGTGATTGCAAGACAAATATAAAGGGAAAGTGGATAACAGAGTTTCCTAAATGGTTTATGCTGCGCATGGCAGTCCACAAGTCACCACCACCATAATCTATGACTGTAATGTTGGAGGCATAGTTAATTATTCATAGCCTCATCTCTGGAGCAGACGTGATTAAGAACATGAAGAGCATTCAGAGATGTAAGCAGTACCTATGAAAATCTGAGCTCAAGCCTCTCATATTAGAAGCTGTTAGGGAACAGTWTGGGGCTATCTCACACGGTGGGTATATTTATAAACATACATTTATTTTTGCCCCCATTTAGATGGCCAAAGCCCAGCAGTCACGGTGACCGTGTGAGCAAGGAGGGATTTTCTGTACTTGAAGACGCTTTACAGGCTGTAGAAGCCCTGTAAAAAAAAAATAGAAACCATACAACATTTATTATTTAAACTGAATACAGCACTCTAAATTCATCACTCTTGGAGCACTATGCCACATGCGTAGAACCGTTAACCATTTAAATGATTTTGTGAATTATAGCCCCCTTCCAGCAATCTCCACTGAGTCAAGCCTGAGCATAGGTCTGTGCTAGAGGCCTGGGCTTGACCCCAGGCTTGTGCAGCTACTGGCTCTCACTGGATGAACATACGACTCACTGGAGTCAGACCTTAATCATGCACTTAAATGTTGCTTGGTGTTGGATGGCAGCCCTCCCAGGAGGATCACTCTGAGGGGTGGGTTTATTTTGTGTGGTTTTGGCTGGGCAGTGCAGTCCTGCAATGTTTTAGAGTCATCAAACACACATATTACACGTGTGCAGAGTTTGTCACCTTTTTAGTTAGAGGAATATATGTTTTCCCGTGATTATTTAGAGTGACAAGTGACAATGACACTGTTCCCATCCTTGCCTCTTTCCTGAAAGTAACCCTGCTTCTGTTTTGTTGTTGTTGTTGTTGTTGTTTCATTTATTTTCTTTGAGCATGAGTATAATGTGATATGACTTCCTGAAAAGCTTCAAAGTTTTTCAGTGAAGGTTGCTGACCCCAAGCTTTACAATACCAAAAGGCCCTGAAAGGGAGAGCAGTTGCTGCAGCCAGCTCTGCAGGTAGAAATTCCAGAAAGCTCGTCAGAGTCCTCGCTCTCGCACACTGTCCAGCTGTTTGAAGCTTGGAAAACGCAGCAGCTTGTGACTGGCACAGGTTCAACAAGTCAGATGAAGTCCTGACTGTAGCATCTCGCCGCCTTTGGACGATGTTTTCAATGAGCGTTTCCAAACTCCCAGGCTGTGCTTCCCTTTGCAGGTCTGTGAACCAAACTCTAAAGGAATTTTGCAGTTAGGACAACTCCCAAATCCTTTCAAGTTGTACACTTTAGTGTTTCTCTCAGCTGGTGTGAATCAGTAAGGCTCCATTTAATTCAGTAAACCTACGAAAATGTGCACTGGTATAAGATCCACCTTACTGTGTCTCAGTCAATGAACAGAGACTTTTTGAGACATCTGATTTTGGCTCAAAAAATCACCTTTCTCCTTAAAAAGCCAAGGAGGCTGCACACCAGACAGAGATCAAAGCACAAGAGTGAGATTTTCGTGGCCATACTCCCAAGTTGATCACATTTGCGGGCCAACAAGAGGATTGAGGCCACTGTGATGATTTATGGTCAAGTGGACAAAACCTGGACACCAGGAGCAGCCTGATGCCAAACCACCTGCACTCACTCACACCCCTGTGGCACAGAGGTCCTTTCCATGGGTTCTTCAGCTGGTCACCTGCACAGCCCCTTAAAAACTTTCCCTATACAGCTATGCTGCATGCCCAGAAGAACCAGCTGTACACAAAGGAGAATGTCTTATAGCAGGCCAATTTACACAGCTGGATATCAGCAGGCTGAAAATAAAGACACAATGGAAATGCTGCACAAAGTGGTAGGTTTTAGTTCATTGTGCACAGTCAGGCATGGTTTTCTTGTAAGCAAATAGGTAAGAAAGGAGGAACTCAGCAGGGCAGTGGAGTTACTAATGGTCTCCGTTGCTCTTCTGATGCATCACAAAATAGAGGAGACGGTTGTGTTCTACATAAGGGCTGAGGTGTGATGGTGGTAGGATGGAGAGAGCATCTCTTTCTGAATCTTTCAGTCTCCTCTTACCTAATTAAAGCTTTCCCCTTCAGTAAAGGTCTGGTCATTTGGTTCAAACTGTGACACACTGGAGATCTGAGAGAGAGCTTATTTTCAGGACTGATTTGAGTCAGGGATATAGTCTCAAATAGCTCAAAGTTCAACGTTTTTGATTTTTAAAAATATTTATCTTAAGATTGTGGGCCAACTACAATTTATGAGAGCAAACCATTGTCAAAACTAGCCCTTATAAACTAGGCTGAAACTTCTTTCCTGATTATGAAATTGTTTATTTAATCAAGTTGCATACAAAACAGAGCATAAAATCCTGCTTGCATACATATTGAGCTTTGCTGCCTAATCTATTTTATAATGTTTTGCAATTAACAGGCCAATGTTCATCAGCTGATAAATAATTAACAGCTGTTGTTGTTTCTAGGGCATGACGTAGAAGGCTTACATAGGACAAAACCCAGCCTGAGTTATTTACTAAAATTCTGACCAAACATACTTTTACAGCTCATAAAAAGGCAAGTTTCTTTGAAAAACTGTGATTTATGGTTTCTCAGAGGGAATCCTCTTTATGGCTCTTCTGAACAAACCAGAAGCATTCCTGTTAATTTTTTTTACTCATTCTCTTATTAGATGACTAAGATGAAACTTGCCTTTTTTTTGCTTTAACTAGTGTTATTCATCTAAATCAGGAAATCAAATGTTAAAATTAACTATTTAAAAAAAATACTTTGCCCAAAAGTGGCCAGTATGTGTTGTTTGTCTGGTATTCTACCGTTGTTTGACCTTTCCTCAAAATTGCCAGTTCTGGGAGGAGCTAGTTCTCAATTTTGTGGAATTTAACTCTCCACAGTCAGCTTAATCAACTTGAGCAGAATTGTTGTTCTTCTGAAGAAAAACAACCCCCCCCCAAAATAAAAATTGCCCTGCTGTTAATTCTGGTTAGAATGGGAGATATGGAAAGCAGCTCCTTTGGGGCTGTCCTTTGAATACAGCTTATTCAGATCTGTTTCAAGTGAGGTAATGTTCTGCAGGAGCCCATGAATGCTAAGAGGAATATCTGTAACTGAATTCTTACTGGAAGGAAGCTCAATGGCTTCTTGCAAAGCTTTTCTGATTTATGTTTATACAACATATTCATCAAGCAATTACAAATGGGAGGGGGGTGGTTCCTGTTTACAGCACACACAATCATCCATGATTAAGCAAGGAGTTCATTCCATGCTCTTGAGGAAGTTCAGTCTCCCTCAGAGACAAGCTTTAGCCCTGCTGAACAGATTCTACTGTACAAGAAGCACTTTTCTTGGCTGTGTTTTTTATCCAAGAGTTTCATGCAGTTTTTCAGATAATCCTAARTTCAAGCCAAAGGGCATCACCAAGGAAAAGATCAAAAACTTGAAGATGTCTTCAAAAAATGTGAAGCTATTGTAGACAGTTGAGGATAGATGTGATGTGTTTGTGGCAATGCATGTCACTGGAGAGGCTTTCTGTGACATTTTGTACTATTTGGAGTTTCCTAAGTGTTGCAGGCTTCATGCCCAGGTATATCGTTATGCTGTAGTACAGCCAAGTGACCAAGGTGTGAAAAACTCAGGCCAGGTCAGTATCTGCCAGGATGGGATGCCAGTCTCCCAGCCAAGTGGAGATGATTGGAAGTGATAATTGCTGCTTTGTGAGAGCTGAATGTTCTTGTGGATTCCTCATCTATTTCTTAACTACAGACTCAATCATAAATGTGTGTATTAACTGAAAACTTTTCCAAATACTCTGTTTACCATCTTTTGTCCTGCTTGGGTTCAACTTTGTTTACCTGCCCTTTATACTTTAGCTCATCTTGGGACTGATTTCTAGTTGTGGCATGACTGTGTATGGTGAAAAATAGAGATGATTGTTTTCTATACCTTGCCAACACTGAGATTACATTATCTTGGTTGCATATAAATATTGAAAGAGATGAAGATATATCTGGATTCCTTTGATGCATGTCACCCCAGGGCAAAGCTACAGAGTGAGACCTTGCTTTGGGTTTGTTCTGCCCTTGCAGGTGAGAAAGCTGTGCCTCATAGTGAGCAATGTTGTGTAAATGCAAAAGGAGCCAACAGGCTGAGAATGGCTGTTCCTTCTCTCTGTTAACTGGAGCGGGTCTGTGGCTGGTGGTGGCAGAGCTGTTGCATTTCTGTGTCTGATCTGAATCTGCTTGGTGCTAGACTAGACCATAGGCTGTTGTGAAGCAAGAGTTCAACTTCCTAAATAAGGTCATGCTTGTCTTGATTAGACATCAGGACTGTACTAATACACCTAGGGTGGTTGTCTTCAGAGGTGGTTGTGCAACCTTCAAATGTTGTCCATGTAAAGGAGCAAAAAACTCTCTAGAAGGGTCTCTGTAGTAATGTGGTAATAGCCTGATGGTTGTGATGGCCTTAAAATTAGCAGGATGTCTGAGCATACAATTACGGGCCGCTTATATCAGCAACTACATGAGTTCCTTAGCTAGAGGCCTATGTCTGAACATAAAATCTGTAGTTTTTGGCTCTCATTTGATTTCAGGAGCAGCTTAGATTATTCTTTCTCCCCCTTTTATCTATGCAGTAATTCAGGCTTCCCGAACACTGTTGTGCATCACAGTAAAGAGAGCTCTGTGTTCCAGCAAGGACAGACACTTAAATCACAGCAGCTCTCCCGCCCTCGGTGGGGTGTGACCACCAGCCTGCTGGCAATCGCACCCCACAGCTGCACCTAAACACTCGCGAGTCTGCTGGAATATTTTCAACCCACCCAGCTTGTCCACAGAAGGAAACACTGTGCCTTTAAACATCCTCCCACTGCGGGCACGCACTTTACTGCTTATTCAGAGCTGACAGGTTTAACATGTCGTCTGGTAAATCAGCCTTCATGGTCACCAGAGAGAGGCACCTCTGGCAAAAGTTCAGAAGTCAGTGTTTTGGAAAGATTGGTTTGACCAGCTCTCAAGTGAGAGCAAATCCCAGACCAAATGCAGTCAAATCTTAAACGACATTTAACCACTGTAGTGCTGTAGCTTGCTGGTGTGCTTTTAACCTGGAGAGGATTCTTCATCCCATTTAAACCTTCAAGTTTGTTTCTTTTCTGCTCAGCTGGCAAGGGGACCTGGGGTGAAGACAGTTTGTTTTGACTTAATTCTAATTAATTAATTAGCTTGCATATGCTTCTGGCTCAGGACTATGGGACAGACTAACGATTTTGGATGTTGTTTTAGTATCTAGACTTCTATAGCATTTTGCTATCCAGTAAGTGCATATATTTCATGATTGCCTCTTCTGTGCTTGTTTTTAAAGGCACCTTAGGATTTACTGCATCTTGCTTTGTAAATTTGCCGCTCTTCCTAATCCTTTCATATTTGCTTTGAAGGGATAACAGCATCTTAGGAGAGAGAAAAAAGAAAAGAGGCAAGCAGACAAACAGTTAATAGTCAGTGGTGCCCAAATTACATATTTCTTAAACTCATGGCCTAGTTTACTAATCAGTTGTCATGAGATGTCAGATGGGGAACCATCAGTGAAGAATTGCAGAATGCAGCCAGTGAAGCAGCTAATTAGTTGGACAGTGGCATGAAGGTGTGTGTCCCAGAGGAGCTGAAATTATCAGAACAGGTGAAGAAAGTTTTGATAGATCAGGATCTCAGTAGTAGAAAACTCCATGCTCGGCTGAATTACAGCAGTGCTGATGGTGAGGGCAGTGTTGTGCCCCATTGGGGATGGCTCATGGATGGCTTGCAATACCTTTATTTGCTGTCTCGAGTCTATTTTCAGAAAGAAACTCAAGTCAGCTGAATGCTTGAAGGAACATGACCTGAGATGTGCAGGGATTAGAATAGTTGAACAGTTGCTGGGTTTAATTCTGAAGAGTCTAGCTGGCTGCCTTCCTTTTTGCCAATAGCTTATTACTCATCCCTGAACTCTTTTCTCCCTGGCTCTTGCAAGAGCTGCTTTTCATTAGCACCTGGAGGCTCCTGCCCGCTGCAGGTACGTGGYGGACCTGAGTGAGTCCAGAGCAGGTCCCATGGCTGTGGTCTGCCCAGCACAGGGCAGACGTGCCTGGGCAAGCAGGTATTTGGGTTTGCACTACTAGAAAACATTCTGCTGAGCTGCTKTCCAAGTAATTCTTTGGTCTGGCTGTGGGAAAATCTGTCTTGGTGGGACATTTCTCTTTCTCTGGAAGAAGACAGCAGCTTGCAGATACCAGCAAGTCCACCACATGTGGACTATATTAATAGTAGTCTGTGCTTCAGTAGCATGRCAAGAGGAGGAAAATCAAGAGGCAAAAGGCATCAGAGTTCCAGCTGATATGAACAGATAAATTATAAATGCATATAGCCGTATTTTTTAAGCATTTTCAGTAAAACATTTTGAATTGTGTTTCAGAAATACTACATGATTTTCTCCTTTTTTCCTTTCATACTACCCCCTCTTTCTCCCCATCTAAAGCGTAGGTGGAGGAACAAGACAAATCATCTCTAAAACTCCTGAAGAAAAGCCCAATCACTGTGCGGTACCTGAGAGATGGATGGCCTGCCATGCCAGTAACTGCTTGTCTTCTGCTGGTGATAGATTTTCACAGCAGAGATGAGAATTCATCTTCAAAATTCTGCAGCCTTCTCATTTTGGGCATATGGAAAACTCAAAACCAGGTATTTGTCTTGGGATTCTTGGTACTGGGATTCTTTCCTCAGTGGAAATCTCCTTTTCAGTGTTTTGATTTTTTCGAAGTGTTATTGCACAATGTAAGAGCAGTTGCACAAAATGATAGGAATAGTTTTACTGTATTCCTGATGAAATCCTGATATGTCAAAGGGGTTATTAGGAGATCTGTTCCAGACCTGGCCACCCACATTTGAAGGTTTTGGTCTTAGAACTGCTTCAGTTTGTGGTGAGCAGCCTCTCTAAAGCAACATGGGACAACTCTGTCCTGGGCCTGCAGGAAATTGCAGTATTAGCAATTGCAGGATTGGTGTTATTTGAGATAGAGGGTGGGTGCCCTTGGAGGTAAATATCCCTCCTCGTGACAGTGACATTATGTGTCGAAGGCCCATGGAAGTTTTCACAGAACATTTTAGTAAAAATGGCAAAAGTGGATTAAGCAAAACTCAAGTAAATCCTGTCTTACACAGGCAAGGTGAATGCTGCTGAAATGATTATTTGTTTCTCCCTGTGGTTGCGGTTCTCCAAACACTATCTCTCCTCTTAGGGCTAGTAGCAAGTATGAGATTACTCAATATATCTCACTTTAAGATTATGTTCCTAGTAGCTTATGATTTTGTGCAACTTTAACAGTTGGGTCTGGAATAACCTGTGATGCAGTATTTGATACTGCCTCAACATTAAGCTCTGAACAGAGCTCTGCAAATAGAGCCCAAGGTTACATCCGAAACAGCAACAAAACAATGAAACACTGAATATCTGTTCAAAAAAGGATGGCATCCATTGCATGCACTGTGGAAAGGAAGTGTGTGATTGTCATTTGAAGATATGTAACACGTGGACATGGAGGAAAGGCCATATTGAAGTTGTGGAGGTATTATTTTGTTTTTGAGTGCCTGCTTRTCTCATGATTTGTGTGTGTGAAGCTATATAGGAGTGAGTTATCCTGAAGGACAAAAAARCTATTAGTTGATGTCACTTCTTCTGGGCTACTCAGGCCCTTAGGACTTTATGAAGAGCTATGATGCCTATCAGAGCTACTAAATGCAGGAGCCCCTGAGGACTGTGCAGGTATTGATGCTGTGAGCACCCGGGAGCTTTGTCACTGTTAAGCATTTGCCTCTGCAATATTTTCACTCTGTAACATTTGTTTAGGACAGATGATTTAAATACTGTTCAAATTGCATGGATTGAGACAAGAATAAACCTGATAATTTGCTGAAGTTCCTAGAACTGCTATGTATAGAGGAAGTGAAAAGCTGAAGATGGACACCAAGGGAAGCAAATGTCACGAATGTGGAGTCAGCCAGAATTTTGGTAGAATTTCAAAACAGTGATGAAGAGCTTCAGCTGTCATCAGGGTTCAGCATTATCAGAGAGGGGAAGCAGACGAATTTGAACAACATGGTCACCATTGGGTTCTAGTTTTTCAAATGCTAATATATTAATGGCCTTACTGTGGAGATAAATAACTCYCATTGTTGTAGAAGGACAGATCTACAGTAGAAAAGAGAAAGAATAATCTTCAGCTTCTCTATAAACTAAATCAGGCTGAAATGTAGTTTCACATTTGAACTTGTTTGTTTTTCTGTAGTTCCAGTTAGGTCAGAAGCAGGAAGATCTGGGAATCTTGGAACTCTTATTTCCAGAGAATTTCCAGCAAACCATTCTCAACTAACAAGGTCAGCCTTAGACTTCAGGGTTGTTTATTTGTTCTGAAACCAGAATCCTTTAAAGTCACATTGCTCGTTTCAAGTTTTGAATTGTTGTTTTATGTCTTACGACTAGTCTAACGGTTTGCTCTTAGTCTTAATTAAAGACTAAATAAAGAAATTTTGCTTTCCTGGGGAAGTTGCCATGCCTTGCTGTGCTTTCCCACCCTTCAGCACCGACTTCAGCCCATTCCCTTTCCTTCTCACCGCAGCCTSCTGTGGATGCTCCTCAGCGGTGAACACCCTGCATCTCCTCCTCCTGGTCACCTGCAGAAGAGCATCAGACTGAATACACCTCCAGAAACCCCTACACCAGGGCACTATCAGACTCCAATTGATGCACAAATAAGTTGGTTTTCTGATTGTTTTGTTTTGTTTTGTTTTTAGGTGTTAATGGTGTAAAAGCTGAAAGGCACCAGTTCTCTTGATCCTGTCAGTTTAGGCAAGATAGTTGCTCAAGAGACAGATTCTTTATCCCCAGAAAACTACTTGGACCTTTGAGATTCTAAATTCCTGCTAAATTCCTGCTACTAAATTCCTTCCCCCATTACCTCCCATCTTTCTTTCCAATATAGCACAGCTACTCTGAGTCATTGTTTATCTAATTTAATTAACATTTGCCAGTGCCTGCAACCTAAAACACTGTCTTAAAACATTTGCTTGAAAAGCCTCCTTGTCCCAGAGCTGTCATTTTTTAGCATGATGGATAATAGATAGAAATAATTATCCTGAACAAGGTTAGACAGCTTAAATGATTTGAGTTTCAAGGAATTAGTAAGCTTAGCTAAACATCTTATTTTTCAAGACATATTAATAATAAAAACACAGCAATGACCGTAATGAATTGTAAAATCTGTGCTCTGCTAGAATACACTGTCTCTTGCAGGTAGCTATGTATGCAACACTTCTATCCCAAGTGATTAAATCAGCACATCATCTGTTACATCATAAATCCCTCTTTTGGAATTCAGAGCTATCTGAAGTCCTTTCAAGTGTCAGATGTGGCAGGAAATAAAGTGTTTCCAGAGCTGGAAATGTTAGTGGCCAGTTCATTGGGGCCAAGTATGTCCCTCTCCAGCATATTATAAACCTGCCTGAGCTATAATGTTTGGAAAGTACATTTCTTCTACATAGCATGTTCTTATTTTAAATTTCGGGCATTTTTTTTTTAACTTTTTATGCTTTTGTTTTGTTGTATTTTTGGGGKTTTTTAGGTGGTGGTTGAGAAGTTCACTGTCCACTTGCAGATGAAGTGAAATATTATCCAGTGCTGTTTCTTCCTATAAAGCACTTTGGTAAGTTCTGCTGCTCAAGTTCTAATCAGGACTAATTCTGCAGCAATTGATAGTAGCTCCATACAAGCTATCTTTCTATTTTTTGATCTCAGCACTAGCAGAGCTGTGTCAGCCCCATATACTGCAGACTGCAGCTCATGGGCTGTTCTAAACTGTACYACCAGTAAGGTCTATAGAAAGCTATTCTTGGAGCAGCAGCCCCTGTGACAGCCCTGAAAAAATACTGGACAAAAAGTACAGGGCTTTGTGGKCATGGAGTTGTATCAGTTTGACAAGGTGCAATTGAGAGCAGAACTGGGCTCCCTGCCTCTGTTATTTCCCCGGCCCCTAATTCTAAGCAGATACAAATTTTGAATTAATCAGTGACCTTTAGCTTTGAAGAAAAGCAGAACTTCTGCATGAAATTGCCAAAAACAAGAGTAACAATTTGTAATTGCTTAATTTAGCTCCTAGAAATCCAGGTGCAGCCAGGCCTCAGAGGTGCTTTGCACTGCAGAGAAATGGGCTCTTCTCCAGGGTGCCTCCATCCAAAGCGCTACGGCACACAAAGAAAGCCAGGAGAAAAATTGGCACTTAGCAGAGAAGTGACAAACCCCATGCAACAGGACATGGGAGAGCTCTAGGGACACCTGCTCTGCCCCCTCCGTGTTACACCAGGGCATCTTTTCAAATAACGACCCTTACTTTAATTCTCGTTCACCAAGTTTTATATTTGGTGAAATTAAGTGAAAATCATCTTCACTTGTGAAAGCAATCAAGATGGAGAGCTTGCAAAACCCAGTTTGTAAAACCCCAAAGTTTCACTTCGACCCTCCCTTCTTATGTTTTAAAACATTTTTAAAAGACCTCTGTATTGGTGCACAAAGATTTAAAATTCCRCTGGCAAAGTGCACTTTTATTGCTCCAGAGCTCGCATAAAGCTGAACGGGTGGCTATATTTCTAAGCAAAGAGCTAGGGGAAAGTGCAGTTTGCAAATGGCAGTAGAGCCCAGAAATTGAACTCTAGCCTTTCTATTCAGTGCTCTTTTTATTATTAAGTCACAGAATAAGTTAAATGTTGCAGGGATACTTTAAATCTCCTCTTGTGTAGAGCGTGTGATGAATGTGTGATGGGGAAAGAAAATGAAATACATGGGCATGCTGAAATTGCAGAAAAGATTGGATGTTGAAGGATCAAATATGGTAAGCTATGTGATGTCATTAAATCCATAACTCTGACTAGCTGGAAATAGAGCAGCATGGCTTTGGTTGTGGGGCATTTTTAGGGTGGACGAGCTCTGCTTGGGGCACCTGTGCAGCATGGCCCAGATCATGGAGCCACCACGTCTGGAAGCTGCTGAGGCTGTAGCAGGAAGAGTTRTTTGCTGTTTGAAGATCCCTTTCGTTCTTTTTCAGACTTGAAATGGTCAAGAATTGAATTGCACAAAACTATTGTGCTCTTGAAACCATAAGCTGCTGTTGAGGTAGCACAGAGAAGCCAGAGCGTGGAGCCATCCTACACTGGCATCAAAGTGGGACATGAAGCAGGTTGAGGTGGAGGAATCCCTGCAGGCTGCTATTAGCATCTCTAATGGTAGGAAACCTAAATGTCTGATGTATCTAATTTCAACTAATGACTCTTGTTTTGTTTATAAGGGCCAAGAAGTTTTTTCTAGAGTTGACTTAGGCTTCACTTGCACTGCTGTACTGTAGTGTAGTGTAGGTTGATGCCGGTGCAGCAATTTTCTAATTTGGTTTTGTCATGGCTCTTTTAGCTGTTCTTTAATAGACTGCATAGGCTAAGCACCCCTCTTATTTATTCACTGTCCACATGCTGAAATTGAGAAAAAAAAAAAAATTGATTTCTCCTTCACACTGCAGGAAAAATATCAATTCTTTCTTTTCTGCAGTCTTTCTTCTTCAGTCACATAAAATAGTCCCAGACTCTCTCTCATCAGATGGTTCCCATAAATGAGAAGCAGTAATGACCACCAGCAGACTTGCAAGGTTTGCTGCAGTGCAGAGGTGTCACCGTGTGGCTCGTGGGGCAGCTGGGGATGCAAACACACAAGCTTGGGCTCCGTGTGGGCTCTCTCAGCTGCACCACTTGCTCTTGGTCACCTTCCTGCACCAAAAACCTTTAGCAGCGTCTAGGGAAGATGCTAGGGAAGCAGCCTTGTAGTTTTGGGCTCAGATGCAGGCAGAAGACACAATGCAAACCATTTTTCTGATTTCCAGGGCCTCGTGCATGGCAGAAAGGAAACTTCCCGCAGAAATAAGAGTTTCCTCTGCTGTCGGGGCCTGCGGATTCATTTGTGTTCCTTGGACCYTGCCAAGAGAGGTTGTTGGGGACTGCTGCTGGCGCGGGGGCTCCTATATTCACCTGCCACTTTGCTCTGGCCTCTCTGCTGCTCTTCTTGCTTTGGTGATTGTCTAGGTGAGAGGAGGTGTGAATTCCCACACCGACAGCACGGGAAATAATGRGAAGGGCTGATCCTGCCGCTGTAGTTCCTAGCACTCTTTTAAATGTGTTTCAGATTTGTGTTTGATTTCTATTGTAACTATTTTTCCCCTAGCTTGAGAAAATAACACAAAGTTAAACATGCTTTTCTGACAGCAATTTTAATATGCAATAGAGGAACCAATGCRAAGGAGCTTTTGCCTGTCTTTTTGATCCCCCAGACAAGGGGGTAAGTGACCCAAAAGCTACCCCAATTTCACCATTTGTTTTTCATGTAGAGCAGAGATGAGTGGGTCAAAAATGCTATTTTGATGGAAGCGATCACCAGGACAGGAAACTAGTCTTATAAAAAAGAAAGCAAGAAGGCTGCCAAGAAGACAGTTCCTTGGGTTTAATTGCAATAAACATCATAGGGATTYAGATGGGGCACCAAACCTGTCAATAACTAGCTGGGATGGTGGCTTGATACAGTGTGATGAAAATATGRCACTGAGAGGTTGGTGTCTATTCTGTAGGGTGAATGTGTCAGGGATGAAATTCTGCTACTTAAAAGACATTAGCAAATTTCATATTACCTTAAGGAGGATCTTGATTTCATCCAAAGGCCAGTTGAGAGACTCCAGGCAGACGTTTGGTCTACGRACTTCTCACATTCCTCCCCAGCTCACTTGATTTCCTGAATCATTTCAGGTCAGAATCCAGTTGGTGGCTGGAGAGAGGCAGGAATAACAAAACGAGATGTAAGAGCTGGGGAAATGGGTCTGTCTGTGAGGTCAGTGGGTGGCAGAGGTACCAATTTGCACACCTATCCTGCAGGGCCAGAGAAGTCAGCTCTACACTCTTGCCAAGAAAGCAAAATTCAAGGGAAGAGAGTTATAATACGCAATGGGAATCTGCTCCTTGGATTTTCTTTTCAGTAGCACAGTTGGGTTTTTGATGCAATTTGTTTCTCGTGCTTGTGGACGTGTAATGTAAGGCAGAGTGTTCATTATTGGGGAGCCACAATCGATAGATGAATAACACAGTTGGGTGCCAATGTTATTGTTGGCCCTGTGTAACCATCATGTTGGTAACCTGAATTAATTGCTCATGGCAAAACCAATGGGTTGTTTTTCCCTAGCAACTCCTTTGTAATTACAGAGTGAGTAGAGGGAAAGCAGTAGTAAAGTGTAATTACGTAGTTACTTTTGTTACAGTTACCAAGTTATTGTTGGCTCTGTATATAATTAACTTGTCACCGCTGTGTGCTGGGTGGCTGGAAGAAGTCCTCCTTCAGAGCATCAAGTGGTTGCTGTTTCCTCTCTTGCTGGTGTTGTAGGAGGTGGGAAAGCATTGAGTGSTCTTGCTTGGTTGGAAGGAGCTTTGCTTTGACCCTGCCTACCTTTTGTCTGTGGTCACTCCGTCCTTTCTTGGCTCGCTTCTCTCATTTCTTCTCTACTGAGGTGCTCTTCATCCCTTGCCTGCCTTGTGTCTGCATGGCTGGAGCATTTCTGGTTGTCCTGTAAGGACAAGCACTGCCAGAAGTGCTCTAAATGCACAGTGGGGAAGTACTGATGAGCACAGGAAACCACTGTAAATACAGTAGTACTTTTTAGAGACTCTAAATGCAGGATGCCTGTTCTTTTCAATTGCATGCTGACTCTTCTAAATTGTGCATGCTATGACTAGAGTCAATCAGTGGCTTTATATCAAAGGAAAATGAAGTTTCTGCACAAGCTGCAATTTTCCACATGAGAATTACAGGCTGGCTGCTGGAAAAATCTGATTAGGGCAATCAAAATGGAGAAGTCTGCTCTGGTGGGTATGGGCTGCACTGGAATACACTGACTTGCTGAACTCCAGTGGACAGATGCTGCTCAAGTCCAACAAGCCTCAGCTCAGGCGTCTCCTTCTCTTCGCAACTGCATCCAAGTGTTAACTGCRAGTCGGACACAGCGCTTCCAGCTTACCAGGAAGTTCCAACAACCCTAAAGCAAGGTGAATTTGGGGTATCTAGAGCATTGGCTGTCAAGGCCAGGGTTCCTGCTGTCTAGTATTTGCCTCAGCTGGATGATGCAGGTTCCTGGCTGCCTGGTGGGAGCTCATTCCCTGTGCAAAGCCAACATTTCTACATGGACTTTCTGATCCGTGTAGAACCACTCCGTTGTTTTCCTGGGGTAGGGCTCTTGCCTGCTATCTTATGCTGTGTTTGCAGTGATTTCCTAGGGGTGGTTGACTTCTCCTAAATTTAAAATGTCCCCTTTCACTGTATTTCTATGGAAACGGCGAGGGTAGAAGAATGATTGGAAAAAAAATTGATACGATACCTAGCTGCAATCAAGGCAACAGCAGATGATTGATATATATGCTGTTAAGGACTGTAAGCACCCAAAGCAGTGGAGATGCAGTTGGATATAGGTGAAACACAGGACAAAAACCAGCCCGCCCCTCCCGCAGGGTTTCCTACGGTGGGTCTGTAAGAGCATACATGGTATTTTGCACCGCTTAAATCCTCCCCAGAGGAAAATAAAGGTCGGCAGGGGAGTAAAGGCTGCTCTGCTACCAGCGTGCAGGCGGTGGCTCGTCCTTGTCCGCGCGGAGGTCAGCCGTGGTGCGGCACTTTGCAGCCATGGCTGCAGGGAGGCGATTCCCGGCCCTCATAAAAACCTTTATGCCTCTGTGATGGGGATGCTGCGATGCAAATTCGCTGTGTCAAAGGAAGAGGCCGCTGTAAGTGAATTAGTACGAGAAGAACTTATTTAAGAAGTGCTGACTCTGCACTCTCCCCTATGTCCTCGCTTTTAAAATTAAAGTCTGGGTCTGCTGCTTACTATGATCTATATTTAGATACTTGTAAATGAAGCTTTGCAGTCACATGGCTGCGTTTTTTGTACGACCTCATGAAGCTGGTTTTCCACATTACTGAGATTTATATGTTCGCGTTTACATATTGCAGGTGTTTCCATAAAGCTCGGGATATCCACGTTAAGGAGGATGGCCTGGAAGAAAATCATGAAGTGTTTCACATTATACAGAGCACAGCTATGCTGTCCTGGGGCAAAAGTTCCCTTCAAAATCAGGGATTTGCAGCCAGGTAAGATTGATGGATGCAAAGCTTTGGGGAGCACCTCCTCCAAGCAAGGGTCGTGTCCTGCGAGGGGACAGGATGCCTTTGGGGATGTTTGTCATGTCGTCCTCCCAGCGCGCTGCTGAGCACCCAGCAGAATATTTCAAAGTGTCAGTGAGTGCTGCAGTGCTGAGCTCATGCTATGTAAATGATAGTGTGATGAATTATATGCTGTACGGACTACACGCAAATCCTGTCCCAAGCAGCCCTGGAAAAGGAGATAGCATTCTTGCCGGTGTGTCCTCTGCTCCAGGAAGCTTGCCAGGAGGACACACAATAATTCACGCTTTGCTGATGCTTTGTGAAAGTTGCTGCCCATACCTTGGCTGCTGCACTGCTGACCCCAGCAGCCACCCATCCCACTGGCCGTCCGGCATCCACAGGGACCAGGCGTCTCCCAGCGGCTATAGGGGGAGGTCAATGTATACGCTGCCTGGCAGCTCAGCACCCAACTTGGGAGCCCCGTCCTCAGGAGCCCAGGTGGAGCACCCATCTGATGAGCACGGGCTATGGAAAGCTCAGGACTATAAGCCTGTACTTTGGCCACGGCAACACTCTGGATACCATCCAAGCTATTGTAGCACCTTCCACAAGGCAGCGCCCAGGAACAGCAGCCATCTCAAAGGGAAGGCCACAGCAGTGGCAGTGGCAATGCTGTCAAGCCAGGCTAGGAGTATAAGATGTTGCAATAATTTCATATTAAACTTAAATAATCCCAAAAGAGCTCCTGGAGGAGCTGGAGCAGCCAGGCAGGCGAAGGGCTGCAGCTGCTGTGCTGCAGCATCGGGATGTCTCAGCAGGAGGGACCGTGGCCACCATGGGCTCCTGGGGAGGCTCCGGAGACCCGAGATTCCCAATTTCCTGCTGCTACAGACAAGGCTGTGCGCTGGCCCAAACGTGGGTCAAGAGTGACACCCTGTGGACAAGTTCCTCTTTTTTAAAAAAATCCTTTCCAGGCTATCTCTCTCAACCTCTCTACTTTTTTTTTTATTTTTTTTTTTCCTTTGGCTTTATCCTCCCACTCCAACCAAGGTGTTGCTTGTACCAACATCTTTAAGCATCCAGATTGCCCAGGGTTTGTTACTGCTAGCCCTTTGCCCCTCCAAACATCTCTTCATGGGCACCATGAGAGAGAGGACAGCCCCCAAAAGAACCAACAAAATGCACCAAAAAGCATGTTTTCTCCCTTGGTTTGCACCCAGAGCTGCACAACTAGGAGACAAGGCTGGACCTCTGGACCTTGGTGATGCCCCAGCACAGAGATGCAGCCCAGGTCGCGCCCTCCCTGTCCCTGTGGCTCTTGGCATCTCTGAGCCCTGTCAAGGGAGGACAAGTGGACACCCTCCACTGGCTCCCAGGCTGCCTGAAACATTGCACACACCTCAAAAAAAAATTATAAACACTGGTTATTTTGTGGTCTCTACAAAGTAACCACATGGTGACCCTCCTGGCCCCTTCCCAAATTCAGACGTGTTGAGGTGGTGTGGGGCTGTCCAAGCTCTCTGAACCACGTCCTCACGTTGGTGTCCCGGGATGTGCTGATTGACCCCAGCTGACAGCCTGGACACCCTGTCTCCAAAAACAGTGTAGAACTCCATTTTAAGAAACAAATAATTCAGTTTTATACTGGTGAGAAATTCCTCATCACTCATTCAATTATACAAATCTAAAAGAAACTGTGACTTTCTGGCAGGCTTGGGTGGAAAGAGGAGGGTGTCAGAATCCTTCCAAAAGTTTGTCCTTTCTTACCCCCGTCAGTTTAATCCAGCTAGATCTGCAGCCATGTATATATCTAAACACCAGGACTGGATGGGAATTCCTTAATACTCATGAAAGAAAATAGTGCTTTTTTTTCCCCAATGATATTTATGTTACCTTTAGCTGCTACAGTTCAGTGCATTCAGAAAACCTCAGCCTCCAACTACCATATGTTTTTGCTGATAGAAGCTACCTGGTTTGCCTAGACATATCATGTAGATTACCTGCCTTTTCCATAGTATTCTAAATCTTGAGCAAAGAGGTCTCTTAGAGCAAAAAGTCACTGTCTGTGTTCCCTTTATGACCTTTCCAACAATCTAGTCTTGAGTGGACATGTTTGCCAGGTGAAGAGCAAGAGATCAGGGCTGTTAATTGAATCTTTGGGACTGGAACTACCGGAGAACAGAAATATGTCCAAATTGGAGGGTTTTGTTTGTTTGTATTTTTTTCTTCTCATTTTTCATCTGTGTTAGTGACCTACCATGTGCTGTACTCCCTAAAATTAAGAGGCTGCAACTTAGCAGGCATTGATTGAAAGCACCCTGGAAGTGTGAGGAAAAAATGTCAGGAAGAAAAAATTCAAAAATGGGAAGATCCATTGGAAAGTGTGTGGCTRCACTTTAAAAGCAGCACTTTCAGATCTTCTCCAAGAGGTCATCGCCTTCTCCTGGACTTCTTCTGGACGTCTTCTTACCTTCTGGGCTGCTCAGAGCGTGCTCCTGGATGCAGAGCATCCACAATTGGTGATAGTAGCACTCTGCATGCAGGAAAATGTTGAGATGCCACTGAGGGCCAGAGAGTGGTAGGTTGGTTTGCTTGGCTTTACCTAGGGAAAGTAGGATAGTTGAATGGTAGTAGAATGGTTAAGGCATTTTTCCCGGGCTGCGGAAACCAAGAGTCAACAATAGGAGGTTGTGCTGGAGACTCAAGACCTGTCTTCCAAATGTGGCAAATCTGGAAAAAAACTGTTTTAGAGCCATGGATGTTTCTTGGTAGGAAACATTTAAACCCAGTTCCTACCTCAGTTCAGGTTGGACTATGTTAACATGTTGCCTGCAGAAAGGTCTCCTTCAGGTTTCCACTGAGCAGCAGTGGCTTTCTGTATTATTGCCTGGTCAAACGATAGCACCGTGTGCTATGGAGCCAGTGCTATATTTCACCCCAGAGATGGATGCAATTCGGGGGAAATGTACTGCTTGTAATCTTCATAATTATGTTGGATGGTCTTACTTAAAGACATGCAGCCACAAGTCAGGCTAGAAACAGGGATTCAGAGGGAGTTTGCAGCTTGTTGTGCAGGGGATCAGACGGTGTGTTCAAATACAATAGTTACTGACAGTGTTAGAAGCAAGGTCAGACCATAATGGTCCATTTTGGAATCTAAATCTGATTGATACGAGGTAAAAGAAAAGAATGTGTGATGTGTAGTATTCAAGTACAATTGGCTTTTTCTTCCCCCCAAGTATAGTATGTTTTTGGAAAGCATATGGGCATCTTTCCGAATTAAAAGCTCCATGTCCAACAATAGAGGTTTTACCTTTTAATTAACAAAGCTTTATAAAGAATTTCAATTCAAAATTACCAAACAAAGGAACTATACAAGCCCCAGATGAGACTTAAACTGTTTCCAAAGACATTAAAAAAGAGAAAATATAGGCCACGTGTTTTTTCTTATGTCTCTCGAGTCCATTTATTCCAGACATCTGACATGCAATTCAAGTTTCCAATAGTTTTAGGTAACTATGTTCAATTTAGAAACCACAACCTTCAGCTAAGTCTACCTACCTCCCAAATCATTCTGGAAAACCAGAGCATTTGTTGATACTCTATATTTTCAGGTTTGCAGAGCTCTGTTATGTGTGTGCTGTATATATCTGAGCTGAGCCCTCTGGCCCCATGCAACGTAAACCTACAGTCCGTGGTCTCCGCCAGGTAGGTTCTAGTTCCTAATGAGAGCATGTTTGTGCTTTCACAAAGTGAAGTTACTATAAAAATTGTCTCCTCTTTTGAGCTGTCTTTGGTAGCAATTGCCATATGGCAGTTATGTAAAACTCCCTATGGATGAAGCATTAATGAGCTTTATTTCTGGCTCTGAGACTTTGATTCTTGACCTTTCTCTGTCTGAGGGTTCACATGTCTAAAGTGGAGATTAAGCAGGGTCTTGGTAACAGGAAAAGCCAGAACACAATGGAAATCCTAAATTCAGACATGGACACACTATGTCCTGCTTTGTTTCAAGGGGTTTGCAGCAGAAATAAGTTTCCTCAGATTTCTTGAAGCCTGGAAGGGCAAGCTTTGATGCCTACCTCTGGACTTTTCAGCTCTGGACACTACTATGCCCTTTCCTCATTCCCGTCAGGAATCTCCTGGGCAAGGATTTCTCAATGTCTGAGACCTACACAAGTAAGCCRGTGGACACCATAGCCCTATTAGTCCCTGATTTCCACTCCTCCCCTCCAACATTCTCACTTTATTCCGTAAAGCCTCATTCATGCAACTCCATAAATCCCAAAGCCCTGGGCTAAATCACAAGGAGCACTTCCTGCCGAATTTGATACCAAACATCCTCTCTTCCAGTGCACAGGAACCAGAGCCCAAGGGAAATGCTAAATGGTCAGGATTTGCTTCAAGAGAGATCAAATTAAGGGAGCAAATTCTTTCCTGCTAAACTCCCAAGTCAGCAGAGTCAACCAGCCTCGAACAGCAGACTCCTCTGCTGGGGAGAGACCATGGGTTTATCCAGTCATCTCATTCATCTGATTTTTATCTTCCCAGTTCTTTTTCCCATGGGAGCACTTATGCACACTCACAAACTCTGCCACTGGAGAAGAGCAGGATTTGAAACAAATTTACTCTTGTTAAGGGTTTTGAAATGGTTTCATGAATCAGAGGTTGCAGCTAGTGGTGGCAGAACATCACTGCTGATATGGGATGGACAGTCCTCGTCCTGTCTCCCTGCAATGTAAAATAGCTGTGACCTCATCCTCTGGTGACCGGGACCTGAGAGACAACTCATTGCCTGCTTAGGCATTAGGGACTGGGAAAGAAAGAGAGTTCCCTGATTTTTTCTTCTTCTTTTTTTTTTTTTTTTTTTTTTTTTTTTTTTTTTTTTTTTTTTTTTTTTTTTCTGAGCATTTCCTCCATTCTTCTCAATTGACCTGAGCAGAATTAATGGGCTTTCAATATCCTTAAAAAAAAGAAGAAGCAAAAAAGAAGAAGCAATGAATAGAGTGAATCAATGCTTTTCCAGGCTGATGTCATGTTTCATGAAGGCACTGATCTTCTGACTTGTTCTCTGTATTTGAGGACCAAGAAGCAGAGAGGGAAACATGGACTCTGCCTAAAAACTGTTGGGGTACTTGTGGGTGCTTTGAAGAAGCTGGTTCACAATTATGAGGACATTCTCTTTGCTGACAAAATAAAGGGAAGGGAAGGGAAGGGAAGGGAAGGGAAGGGAAGGGAAGGGAAGGGAAAGACATGGAAATTCTGCTGATGCAAGAGAACAATGAAAATCTGAGCTAGAGATGGAAGGAACTGAGTGGGCCCCATCCAGTTCATTGCTTGCTAGGCTGGATTTCTGCCTGCAGTAATTTATGCCATAGCCTTGCAAGTGAAAACAGATTTCATTTACTACCGAACAGTGCGACTCTGTGCAGACAGAGTTCATGGCCTCRCAGTGTTTCAGAGGAGGTTTTGTGGGATTATTGCTCCCGCTTTGCAGATGGGAAAGGTGATGCCGGCTAAACTCTGTGGCAGCGTGCGGCTCCAGCGATGGGGCAGGAGGGTTGGGGCACGGGTGCCTTTGACACTGTCCCTTGGCTCATGCTGTCACTGCGTGGCCTCTGTGTGAAGTGTCAAGGTCCCCAGGGCATAAGAGACACCCTTTGAAACCTTGTGCAAAGACCTGTCCTTCTCCAGGGGCTCCATCTCCGAGGGGAATGTGAGATGCTTCTCTGCCAGGAGAAAGCAAACTTCCAGCTGGAACTGCACATTAAAGGAGAAAACAAATCCAAAACTTCTGCCTTGTTCTTTGTTTTTCTCAATTTTTCTCTTAGCTCTCTTGTAGCACGAGGAGCCTGAGAAGCAGCCTGGCCTCCCCTGCAAGATTGAGCTGGCTGCACGGCCGGTCATTGCCTGCCTCCCCGCTGCAGCGCTTCCCTCCGAGGGCTCTGCTGCAGCAGCGCAGCGAGCAGGTAAAATTAGCATTTGGAGAGAAAAAGTCCTATGGAAAAAACTATATGTTCCCCGAGAGCCAAATGAAAAGAAGGAAAAAAGCCTCAAACCCGAGCTTGCAGACTCTGCTGTAATTTATGATATACCATATGAATCTAACTATAGAACTTCATTTAAAATTTTATAAAGACTGTAAATCTACAATGAAGTGTTCTAGGGACAATCTGCTGGCAGAAAAGCACCCTCTGCAGACTGACCTGTGGGAGGAGCAGTTTGTCAAGGGCTTCATCCGAAGCCTGCTGAAGACAATGGAAACACTGGGCCTGACGTCAGTGGCCTTTAGATCAAAAAGCCCCAAAAGCCCAGCATGGAAAAAAAGAGGAGGAAGGAGCAGCAAACTTCTCTAATCAATAGGTACTGCTATATGAGGGTCTTTAGCAATAGCTTAGCAGGCCATGATGAGCTGCTTTGGACACTTTTATTGGGTATGGCATATATCTTACCGTCTTTATCCTGAAACTTTTAGTGCAGTTGATCTCACTGGAGAATTTGGGAGAACATCTGCTGCAAATGATGGGTAAAGGCATAAGCTGTTGTGGGTGGGGTGAGCCTCCRGAGCCTCACAGTTTGGGTTTGGCTTCTGCCTCGGATTCTTATCTGAACTATACAGATCTCCTGTGGCTGCAAAAATTGGACTGGAAATCACAAGAGTGCAAGGCTTCTTGTGAGATTTCCAGCACTTTTCTTATGGTTTTGACTGAACACCAGATGTGGAAAAAAATATTTAACAAAACTGGATGCAAGGCTTTTTTTTTTTCACGTCTGCTTCTAAAAAGGGATGAAGGTTCAGGAATCTAATTTTATCCTTTCCAGTTGCACTCATTGGTAAGATTCAGTTGTATTTAAAATAAAAATAGAAAAATAAAAAAAAAATTAAAAAGCAATGCAATTTAAGCCCAAAGTGTAGCTATTGCAACCAGTCCCTGAAGAATCATTCAAGGAGATGAAACTCTAAACATTACATTGACTGTGAACCAAATTAAAACCTTATGCCTTTGGCAAGTAGAGTGCAATGAAGGAACAAGGTAAATGGCAACCACTAGGAAACAGCCACTAATCTTTTCTTCTCTTGAAAGATTATTTTTTATTTGCTTTTCATGCAGATTTATTTGTATTTTTTGACCCTTTCATTTCTGCTTTCACTGAACCTCCAAGCTCTTAGACTCTGTCTTGCACAGACATTTCTAAGGATACTTGAACTGAACTGCTTAAATATTCACCATGTGTGAATTTTAAATTCTATACCTGACTGAAAAGATTGAAATAGACTTTTCAGGCTAGTTACCCAAACCTGCAGTCCTGTTTGGGTGTCATGCCAGTACCGGGATGCTAAGTCACCAATCCATGGCAGTCCAGTCACCCTGTTTCAGAAGATCCTTTTAGGCATCTCACAACAGGAAAGAAGATGGATTTTCTCTGAAGGTTTTGTCTTCTGTATCTGATTTTGCCACCTATTGCCACCTTTAAACTGAAAGTGTTTGATGTGAGGTAGAGAAGAAATATGAGTGAGTGCACTGGTGGTGACTTAGAATAGAATAGAATCATGGAATGGAATGCCTAAGGTTGGAAAGGACCTCTGAGGTCATCTAGACCAACCGCCCTGCACATGCAGGGTCACCTAGACTTAGGAGACTAACGGTCATAATTGCCTTCAAAATTTTACATTTCAGCTGGGATGCTGGAGCATTGGTCTCTGTGGGGTGCAAAATGCCAGATTAAATAGAAACCAAGGTGGCATTTGTTTTAAGCTACTTATTTGGTGTGCATACTCACATACGAATGAAATGCTAACGATRGAAATCAGGATATTATCCTCTCTGGGAGCTGTGGAGGAGCGAGCTATAAATCCACTGCCGGAGGAGATTATCTAGAACTCACCATGTCTTGTCATTTCAATGATTTTTTGGCAATATTGGCTTGTTTTCTTCAAAGATCCAGAGCCAAGTGCCCTGTGAACCTCTGCTGTCATTTAACAAAAAGCAAGTCAACAAATCCATAATTGCAAGAAAAAAAAGCTTGAAAGTGCGGACAGCAACGCTTAGAAAGAACGGGGAGGAAAAACCCAGTGTTTGTTTTTAATCCCATTAATTTAGGATGAAGGAGGGGCTCTGCTGAGCTCTGAAAGGTTTTATAGCTGTCTCTTCGGGCCCGGGTAGGGAGCCGTTTGCTCCACACAAGGTGCTTGGTGCCAAGACCCTGTCAGTGCTGCTGCTGCTCAGCGCTCGGCTCCCTGGCCGTGCAGTTTGCCATTTGGGCCTCTGCACACATTATTCTGGGGAGCTTCCCCAGATTTCCAACGCTGGTACCTAAAAATCTCCTTGCTTCCTCCTAGATCTCCGAGAAGTGTCCACCGTGGTCAAGCCTCCAAGCTGGATGCTGTTCCCTCCCCAGTCAAGGTGAAGATGCTTGCAGAAGAAGGCAAGGAGAGGAGGACAGGGGTCTGGCGTTGCCTTTCTCCCCCCCTGCCCATGTGGAAACAGTTATGTCCAAATAACACATCCCGTGGGACTTTTCCTAGTCATTCCACAGAAGCCTTATTAAAAAATAGAGACTTTATTAACCTGAGATTCGGGGACTTGAATTCGTGATAGGGACCGTAAACTATCAGCCAATGGCACATTTTTACAAGAGTGATTAGAGGGCTGAAGAAAAAAAAATAAAAAAAAGAAAAAGAAAAAAAAAAAAAGAAAGGAGCTCAATTTGGTTAACCTAGCAAAAATCAGATCAAGCAGTGACCTGACTCTGTGCAGTAAATACCTTTGCAGGAAGAAAGACCACATACAAAAGGGCTTTATAGTCTAATGGAGAAAAAGCATAACAAGATGCAATGATTGGAAACTTAAGACAGGCAAAATACAGATATAAGCATGAGAGCAGGGGCTAACTATGGGGACCAGCTCCTGGAGGGGGCCGGGGATTTGTCATCTCTTTGAGTCCTGAAATCAGAACTGGAGGGCAGCCCAGACAACTTTAGTGAAACGTATATTAGTAGGCTCAATTAGGGAGCGAATGTGGGAAACGAGTTTCATGGGGGTTTATAGGGAAGGCTAAGCTAAGTGATCTGAATTCCCCCTTTCAGCCTTAAAAGAAAAAATAAAAAATRGAGGAAAGGTGCCAGAAAAGGAGCTAGATACCCAGACTCAACCCCATTGCAGTCACGAGCTCCTCTGGATGAGCTGCGTGCCTGCATCGTGCCGAGCTCCGTGCTTCCCGGGAGCAGACAGAATGATGCACGCCGTCCCATGCCACTAGCAAACCCAGTTTGGAGCTGCTTTTCTTCCTCTGCCCCCACCCCCAGCACACATTGCTTTTTCGTATTTATTTTTCTGAAACTAAAAATACACCCTCAGCAGTATTAGTCACTCTACCCACATATTAATAAATTGCATAATGATGCCACCAAGCATCCAAAAACCTTTCAGGCTGTTATATATTATTTCTTTCAATAATATTCTGAAAGGCCAGTGAGTCTTAATGGAGCCACATGGTATTGTATTTAATCCAGAAATCTGGAACTGTCTAAAATTTAATATATAAATTAAGATAATATACAATAAGTTCCTGGGTTTTTTTTTCATTTAATTTGGTTCCCCCCATTTGGGCAGGCTGTAATTGAAACACTGCAGAGCTGTGCCTTTTGCAAGAGATTTTGTCTACAGAATCTTAGATTTGTAGCCGTTTTTCTCACTTTTAATTGCTTAGGGCTGTTCTCTCTAGTAACTCAGTCATTTGCCAGCCAAAGGAAAGTTGAAGAGAACCATAGTTTAACAGGGTGAAGTTGACAAATTCTGCAAGTCACTGGAGGTTTCCAGGGCCTTTTCTTTGCCCTGCTGTGCAGTGGAATGAGGCCCAGTGAGGTCTTCCATGCAACTAGCACTGGTTTGCTGGTGTCTCATTCCCAGCTCTTCATAGACTTTCTATACAGATAGGAACTTCTAAAAGCTTATTTGTTAAAACAGCTGGGAACTATAAAGAAATACAAATCTACGGATGTTTAAAGGATTTGAAAAATTAGGAGCGCATTAGGTCTAGGTCTGGAGCACAAGGCAGCGTTTCAGAAATGGATCCTCTGAAAGGTCCACCTCTGCTGCAGCTCCCC